CTTCTCACCTGGAGAAAAAGGAGGTTTTCTGGTTTTGTGCTGTTCACTGGTCTCAGTTTGTCTCTTGATTCCTTAGGTACACTTTCCTGCTACTCATACTTTTTCTTATACCTGGGATTATAATGATGGTTGCCTATGGCCTAATTTCTTTGGAACTCTACAGAGGAATAAAATTTGATACCAGCCAGAGAAAATCTTCAAGAGGTAACAATACATTTAGGTTTGGGTTTTTTTTTTAAGCTAGAGTTGAAGATACAAGCAGTCATCTTGAGGCTACTAAAAGTAAGATTTTCTATTTGCAGAAATTATCATTATGGTCAGTCATGGTTGTGAACCTGCCAGATGCATTTGTTGATTAAAGTTTTCCATTATTCACTAGCAAATAATTCCTCACCTGTGGCTTGTTTGCAAAGACTATGGGCAGAATACGTAAAATTTCTAATTTGCTTATTATAGCAATACCAAGAGGGTTTTTTGTGGCCGTGGATGAGGACCATTTTTGTCAATAAACACCACAATAAAAATTGTCAAATTAAGAAAGAAGCATGTAATTTGGAAAGTATCTTCAGTGAATACTTGAGCAAACAGTCTTCTTACATCTTTTGCATCACTTTGTATAGAGTTAAGACATGAGAATATTGGGAGGTAGCAGACGCAGAGCAGCTGATGCACAACGGACTCAGAAGTAGGCTAGTGCTTGCTTTGCAGCGGCCATGAATCATGTTATTTTTCCAGACTTAGACTCTATTCTTCATTTTTTTTGATCACTGTTCAGAGATAATTTGCCAACTATTTATATGCACCAATTTATATGTACAGAAAGAAAAATAAGTACCTGCAGCACCAAATATGAGGATGGAGATGGATGCTACCTCAACAAAACCAAAAGAAAAAGGAAAATGCCATTGCAACAGCTCTCTGCCACTAGCCACAGCAAAATAGACAGGGTGAGAAGCAACAGCTCTTCTGCCAACTTAATGGCCAAGAAACTCGTCATCCGTATGTTGATGGTGATAGTGATTTTGTTTTTCCTCTGCTGGACTCCCATCTTCAGTGTCAATGCCTGGCGCGCGTTTGACACTGCTTCGGCAGACAAGCGTCTCTCAGGGGCTCCCATCTCCTTCATCCACTTGTTGTCCTACACTTCTGCCTGTGTGAATCCCATCATATACTGCTTTATGAACAAGCGTTTCCGCATGGGTTTCCTAGCCACTTTCACCTGCTGTGCAAAGCAAAAGCCCCCTGCCATACGGGGAGAGGGTGGTGATGAAGAGGAGGGGAAGACCACAGGAGCTTCACTCTCCAAATGTTCTTACACGCACACGAATGCAACTGCACCCCTCTGAGCTGCGTCAGAAGAGGCAACGAGTGGCCTACAGAAATTCAAGTGGCTATCACCTGGTCTTGGAAAGTGCCTGTGGCATCGGCTGAACATGGTTTAGTGCTGAGGTAATGAAACACTTCAGCTGACAGTAAACACAGTGAGAATTTTATGGGAAATGGATGCTATCACTTTCCCTTCAAAAGTACAAAGGAGGAAGGGAGCTCTTTGAAGATAAGGGACTTTATACAAAGCCTTAGAAGATGCTTTGTTTGTCATAAACTCTCCTGTAAAAATTGGTGTCCCTTACATGAACAGTTTCACTCAGTTTTCAGCTCTTAAAATTTCCAAGATGCTAATAGATTCTCCTCAAACACGAATACATGTACTGCAGTCTTCAATATCTATGCCTCATAATCAAAATCTTTTTTTCATTTGTAGTATTTTTTCACATTACTCTAGCTGAGCTAATACATGTTGAGGTCATTTTGGTGTCACAGTCAAAAGAAGAATTTTGGGGTGGAGAGAACGGGCTTGTCTATGTGCAAATAATGCTTCTAAGTAAAATAATTTCATCCTTTTTTTTTTCTAATAAAATGAAAATAAATATTGGTGACTTTGTGATGGAATGCATTCTTCACTTATACAATAACCTAAATTAACATAATTTAATATATTTTTTGTTTAAACAAACCCCATAGAAGAAGCATGAAGAAGTAGCTTTCTTCTGTGCAGCTACAAGCACCCACACGTGCAAGTGGTGGCATCTTACACGAGCCCCAAAGGCTCTCAGGGAAATTGTCACACTGGAAAGCACAGGGATAAATGCATCTCACCGAAGAAGTGGTATATTCACAGTCACTCCTGGTGTGGGATTGCCCACACAGAAACAGAAGCCTTTGGATGTAGAAAGGCAGAAAGAGCAGACACAATGAGCAAAGGCTGAAAGACTTTGTCAGAAAATATAGTTTTTCTAAACTTTAGAAGAACTGTTTTCTCCAACTACACATATTTGTAAAAAAACTCAACATAGAAAAAAACCCCACCTTTGAATGATGTAATTATTGGTGTTTTATTGAGTGAGGATTTAGTTCTGAGGTAATGAAACACTTCAGCTGACAGTAGTTTCTTTCCTGTGCAGCGCACAGGTAAGTGTAGGTGTTCAGGTCATTCCCTTTGCTCTGTGGAGCTCAGCAAGAGAAGTTTTATCATTTATTTTGTTTTGTGAAGCTATCCTGTTGGAGATGTTTCTATCTTCTAGCTGTATCAATATAATTTAAAAAAACTTGTTATTAGACAGAGATTAAATTTGAGCACAGCGTGGAATGTAGATGTGGATATTAAATATAACCCTTCTCAAGGTTTTTAATCAGGAAAATCTGATCTCTTTACAGAATGATTTTAATTCGGGAACACGGTTTGAGTTCCAGGCACCCAGATTCACATTCTGCATTCAGTTATTGCCTGGAACAGTTTACCCATACAACTTAGCACATAACTTTGCTATTCTTTTTTTTTTGCATCCAGCTTGTCCACAGACAGGAAATTAAAAAAAATTTCTAAACACTATTTATGCACAATCCATAGAAACAATGTTTTGCCTGCCACGTCAATAACCTAGCACTGTTCCTGGAACGTTGCTGAGACTACTGACATCGATCTGACCTTTTGCAAATGCTCACTGAATTAAATTATGGGATTTAATTCATAACAATGAAATGAAAATTTTGCTTCACTTCCCTCTGCAAACCTGTCCTGAGCATTGAAACTGGAGGAACAAACTTTGCTGCTTTTGGATTTATGTGGAACAATGAGAGCAGAAAAAATATTTGTGAAGTATTTTATGCCATTTGAAGGTCCGGCTTTATTATAGGACATAGTGTAAAAATTGTTGGTTTTAATTTTTAAAAAAATCATGTTTTAATAATATACTGGATGTGAATATTGTTGAGTACACGCTGTACAGCAAGACAGCCTACTTCACAGCTCTATGCACTTTAAAAGGCAAATTCCTTTTTGTAGATGTGGAGTCTCTGGTACCTTTAGAGCCCTCATAGCAGTATGTGCGCCATTCACCTGCTCCCACTGATTTCCTCTGGAGATAGTGGTTTCAGATGAAAGGCAAAAGCTGTTTTCAACAATGCCTTAATCAGATCACAGCCCCCTGTGGCCTCCTGTACCTGTGGCTGAAAGGAGCAGAGTCTCTGATTGATTCCCCACTCATATCGATCAGGGAGCACAATTTGGAGGTGATGAAGTGAGGGAGGCAGGAGAAGAAGATCCTGATGGAATAGTGGTCAGGCAACAATCAGGGAAGGGTTAGAAATGTACCAGAACAGACATGTTTCCTTTGTCCAAGGCTCATCTGTGCCTGTGTCACTCTTCCTCTCCATTGCCCCCTACGCACCCTTTTTCTTTTTAAATGAAACCATGAACTCTTTGGCCAAATTCCCAAAATCACAAGCCTTAAGCCACATACCAGCAAGGAGTAGGAATTAAGTTTTAAAAATACAATATTGTAATCCAGTAATTTTGTTGTCTTCTGCCCTGGTCTCCCAGCACAGGAACTTCCCCCCTTTCTGCAACCAGCATGCATCTTAATGCCATTTTCCCTGATCCGTGTGTTGCAGAGGTCATTCCTGGCTGCAGATGTTGCCCTTTCATTGCTAAAGAGTTGTGGAGTCCTCCCAGGACCTTTAATTCAGTTATCGCCGTTTTAGTGGAAAATGTATCTTCAACAGTTTACTGTAGGTGAATAAATATATCAATTTAAAAGAAGCCCATGAAGTCTCCTTACTTTAACATTAGTTTATAGGGGCTAGGGGGAGAAATCCTATCCTAAATGTCTATTTCTACAGTGGGCAGTACCTAAAGTTGTGGAGTCCTCCCAGGACCTTTAATTCAGTTATCGCCGTTTTAGTGGAAAATGTATCTTCAACAGTTTACTGTAGGTGAATAAATATATCAATTTAAAAGAAGCCCATGAAGTCTCCTTACTTTAACATTAGTTTATAGGGGCTAGGGGGAGAAATCCTATCCTAAATGTCTATTTCTACAGTGGGCAGTACCTAAAGGCATCCCCTCCCTTTGTCTCTTATCTCTTTCAGCTCCATGTCACTGACTTTTTTTCTTTTGTATCCTTCCCAATCTCCAGGTTACTCCCTGTCCATCCCCCCCCCCCCCCCCCCCCAC